CAGTTTCCTTCCACAGACCAAAAACATGCAGGTTAGACTGATTGGTAACTCTAAATTGTCCCTAGGTGAGAGAGAGAGTGAATGGTTGTTTGTCTCGTTTGTCTCTATGTGTCCCTGTGATGGACTGGAAACCTGTCCAGGGTGTCCCCCTCCCCTAACACAGTGATTGCTGGACATGGGCACCGGCAACCCCCGTGACCCAAAATGGAATAAGCGGGTAAAGAAAATGGATGGATGGATGAATTTATTGACAGAATTATTTTGGACAAAGTTGATTATGACAGTTTAAAACTAGAGTATTGGTATTTTCAAGTGGGACTCTGTGGAAAGGTAATGAACAATTAACATCCTACCTGTTGTAGATAGATAGTTAGAATTAACTCTCCAAACTGAGCTCATTTTATGAACTAAGTAATACAAACCAGATTCCAAAAAAGTTGGGACACTAAACAAATTGTGAATAAAAACTGAATGCAATGATGTGGAGAGGGCAAATGTCAATATTTTATTCGTAATATAACATAGATGACAGATCAAAAGTTTAATCTGAGTAAATGTAACATTTTAAAGGAAAATATGTTGATTCAAAATTTCACAGGTCAACAAATCCTAAAGAAGTTGGGACAAGTAGCAATAAGTGGCTGGAAAAAGGAAATTGAGCATATAACGAACAGCTGGAAGACCAATTAACGCTAATTAGGTCAATTGACACCATGATGGAGTGTAGTGAACTAGGCCTCCGACAACAATCTGTCTCTGAAGACCTTCAGGGGACAGGAACTGTTATTTCATTGATTTGAATCCAGAAATACAAATTATCTCATCAAGAGACTATTTAATTGTATCCTGAATTAATCAATTGAAAGAACACACTTCTTTTTTACATTATCATTACTATTTTACAATATCTTGATAATCAAATGTGTGTTTAGTTCATACCATTTCTAAATGTTGAAGTGAACCAATCATTTAAATCAACTGTGAAACAGTGTTAATGATTTTTAAACCTCAGCAGATTTTTGATCATACAGTTAAATGCCTATTTACGAAGTAAGTGTGCATTTAGTGATGTCGGTCGAAAGTCAGAGACAAACAGAGACGACAGAGACAAGTTATTAGAACGATGTGTCTTGTTTTTAAAACTAGCAGACAGTAAATAACTTCAACTGGTACCTGCTTTGTCTCACCTCTTCATAAACATTTTTTCCGTCTGTACTAACCGTTCGTAAACATTGCTGATGTCTCTTGACATCTAGTGACCCTCTTGACATCATTAGAACCACCCTCCTGCTGGTTGTTTCAACCAATCAGGAAGTACCACGTAACAGGAAGTGTATACCTACCACTTTAAAAGGAACACTTCGTGGAACTATTCAGTTCGGTCCTGGAGTTCGGTCCTGGAACTGAGTTCAGTCTTCACGAGTCTTAGTCTTTTCCAGTCTTGCTGGGGCTTTCGGTCAGAGATGAGACTCACTTAAGCAGCAGATGGATGCGACCGTGTGCCAAGGAGTCCCTCCATTTAGCGGAGCCACGGCTCACGTCGCTGTGCACTCAACCCGAGCAGTAAATGCTCCACTTCTCAGGAAGCTTATTCGGTGGAACCGAGTACCTCATGAGTATATGCATTTATTCTAAAGATTCCCAGCTACTTTAACCGGAGACGCTGTAAAGGGATCGTACTAATGGACTTCTGTTCCGGAGTGGAAGTATCCCCTATCTAATGCCCCTTTTCCATTAGTACCGGTATGGGCCGACTGGACCCTACTTGGCCCGGTTCTGAGGCTTTTCCATTAGCACCGGTACTTAGCACCTGTTACTATTTTCAGTACCCTTGGCTCTGTGGTTCTAACCGGAACGAAGAGGTACTAAAACGTGACGTCAGAACACTGTCGGTCACTGATTGGTCGGGGGCGGAGCCGGGGGCGGAGTCACTGGATCCTTCAGAAACGTTTCAAAACAATAATCCGCCATTTGCAATTTCTCGGACTGGAGCAGCGGCTGGACTTATTTTAAAGATTTTAAAAACAATACTGACAACATCTTGGTCTAATGTTGATGTGCTGGCATTTTTTGTGCTTGGTGGCCGACAACATAATTTAGAGCAAGCTGGATGGAGCTCTGCTGGTGTACCCCGATCCTCCCTCCGGAGCCTCGGAGCACCAGGCCGGGCAGGACGTCATCTCCCCGGCTCCAAGTTCTGCTGGTCACTGCGGAAGATCCTTCGATGTGCCGACTCGGAGGCTCGGGTTCCGGATACCAGCCTTGTGTGCTCAGAGCTCCGTTGGTCACTGTGAAGCTGGAGATGGGGACTCACAGAAAGCCGTTGCCAGATGCCGGCCGCGCGTAATCATGAAGGCTGAATCCCTATCCCACCCGGCAGTCAGGCGGACTGGACAGTCTGGCACGGACGGTGGAAGTGAGTTTTAAATAAAATAATATTTTGTTTTTATACAAAAAATGTTTTAAAAAAATTGCTGAAGCGATTTAAAAATGATTTTTTTTTTTTACACGTAAAATGTTTTTCAAAATCGCTTCCACCGTTCGTTGCAGACCCGTCTCTGTCCACCTGTCTGCGCGGGTCGGACCTTCATGATTACGCGCAGCTGGGATCTTGGAACGGCCTCGAGTCACCAGCTGAGCTCGGAGCTGGGAGGATGAGCCTGTCCGTCCCGTCTCCCGAGGAGAGGATCATGTAAGACCAGCAGAGCTGGTCATAAAAAACAAATATATATATATATTTTAGCGTTGAAGATTAAAAAATAAACGGTGCCAGCTTCATCGTGAAATCCTGTTTTCACTTTAATGACTGTTAACTCAGCTGAAAATCATGAAAAGACACAAAACTATTGTATCTCAGGAATATTTCCCTCAAACATGTTTAAAGAAAAGAGACGACCTTCAGTTCAACTTTATTTTAACCCACAAATGTACAAATCACAAAACAAGAACTTTAAAGCAAAGCTAAAAATAAAATGTATATATGTGAACAAGAAAGAAAACCACACATCTAAAATAAACATTAAAAGTAGACAATGAGTGCAAATACATCAAATGATGATGAAAACCTATAAAAATTTAAATCTAATGTTTTTGTAGAATCTGGTTCATCAGAGATTTAATTTATATACATATATATATATATATATATATATATATA